AAAAAAAAAAAAAAAAAAAAAAAAAAAAAAAAAAAAAAAAAAAAAAAAAAAAAAAAAAAAAAAAAAAAAAAAAAAATATGCTAAAGTAAGATGTGATTTTTTTAGTATATAAGATTCATTTTTATAGTTTATAAAATAATCTAAAATAATATAAAAATAATCTAAAATAATATAAAATAATATAAAATAATATAAAATAATATAAATATTTTTTAATACATCACATACGCATACATTGTCGTTTCATACATTGAAACAAGGAGAAAGTTTCATTAACGATATTCAATCTCATGTTGTAACACCCAATTACATTATATAAATGGAAAAATCAAACTAAATCTGTAAATAAACGCTAACGCACCCGCACAAACCGATATTTTCCTAGGGGAATATCTTTTCAAAAAAAAAAAAAAAACATATTAAATTAAAAATTTATAATTTTCTTTTCCTAAAAATGTAAAAGAGTTTGTTAATCGGTAAGATCCGCCTGTTTTTTCTTTAAATGTATCCTGAAAGTAAAATAAAATGAGAATGAAATTACTTAAAAAAAATGCATGTGTCACGTGAAACAATACAAAGGTATAACAAAGTGTTACAATAAGTAAAGTTTTACATGTGATCTGAGTAACCATTAATAACATTAACACATTAACAGTATAAGGAGATATAATGAATATATAGTATGATATAATGTATATAAAAATTTTTAAACTAAAAAAGGATCATTTAAAAACGTGATAAGTTACCGTAGTAGTTAATCTATAAATTAATCAGTGATTAAAAAAAAATGATTAACAAAAAAGAAATAATCATATAATGAATGAATGAATGAATTACGTAAAACAAGTTTATTATGATGAAATTTGTATGACAAGAACATCATTGAATTTTTTTAGATCGAATTATTATTATTATTATTATTATTTAACAGCTTTAATACGCCTCATTACAATGTCAATGCGCATTAATAATAGAGATATTTTTGGGGGTAATTTATTTAGCCTCATTCATTATTTAAGTGCATATATCGTAATCAAGCTTGTTATTGGATAAATTACAATGATGCAATTTTTAAATGACCAAAGAATCAATCGGAAACTACATTATATTATAAATAAATTATCCAATTTTGGGTTTATAGAATGAAAAACTCATTCTAAATATACATATATAAAAAAAATCACTAACCACGTTACCATAAACATAAAATGAATCAAATATCATATATAGTTCAGTCATTTTGAATATTTTTTTATAAATATTTGGTCTTTTGACAAAATGAAACAATAATTATTGTTTAATTAACAAATTCGGTTAAATCATTGTGGCTTGACTCCCTTAAGTAAATAATCACAATTTAAATTATTATATATTAAATTTGGGATTTCAAATAAATAACATATGATTTAATGTTGAAAATGTATTAAATGCATACAAAAATCGTAAGTAATATTTATTGTTGTTACGTCAATATGGAGATCAATGCTTTTATAGCGGGGGGATATCCTTTTCATTTTAACGCTTTGTTAATTTAGATTACCTTTATTTGGATTAATTACAAATTAAAATAATTGTTAATGAGTAATTGTTAGTGAATCGCCAAGAAAATAAGGAATCTTGTTTTTTTTTTTATACAAAATTACAATATAATATATTTATTTTATTTTATACATTTATACAACTCCTTAAAAAAATCCATTTTCCTGGTATGGATAATCCCGATTAGTTCATATTTGGCGTGGAGTATACATTTATAATTAGTAAAGATACACCTGATACACCGATTATTAATAAACAAGAGCATTACTTAATTAAGAACAAAAAGTGAATATAATGAGATGATTACGTATTATAATGTACATTAATTTTGATTTACCGCATTTTGCATTATTTTTCTTTTTTGAAAGAAAAAAAAAAAAAAAAAAAAAAAAAAAAACACCTCAATATCATTTGAAAAATTTCAGGTAAAATATTTGGTAATTTAATATGTGTCAAAGTTCCATTATCCCTCTTTNTTTCAATTGATACAGTGATTCACATATTTTTGAAATTGTAATAATCATATTATACAAACATTTTTACTATGATTAGTTGAAGGACAATAAAATTACATACATGATTAATTGTTCAATTGATTGTCTGATCGAGAACACAAGAAGTAATCATAAAAATTATAAAAATATTTATTTTTCTTTTTCAAACATAATAACATAATAAAAAAAAACGAGGGACAACGAACACGTGAAAGAATGATCAAGCTTTTTTCTTTGTACTCTATATACGTTACCCTTCCTAAATTGATAATAATAAATTAGTAATGTATGTGATCGAGAAAATTGTTTTTCTCGAATAAAGTATCCATAATGTTTGTGCGTTAAAAGTACGTTTATTCTTCAAACAAGTTTTGTGTTTCTCTCCTTGCTTTTAACCTATTAAGTACTTCAATGAATAGATACATATTCGGTGTAATTATTTTACTTGAAACGGTTACAACTCTTTAAACTTATTGAATATTACCCCTTTTAAATAAATATATATATATGTATATTAAAAAAAGATTACAAAGAAATGATGTATTTGAGATGAAAGACATGCGTCAAAAGGGTATTTACTCGGGTTACGTGTTATTTGTGTGGCTAGAAATATAACTTGTACGACAAGGTGTTGAATAAACCTTTATTTATTTTCTTTATTGTGGCTGTGTTATGGCTTATTGAAAATTTCTAAAGAATTTCTAAAGAATAACATAATGTACAGTTTGTTCGAAAAGAAACACAAAATATGTAATAATTTCCAAATAAGGTAAGTAATTTAATTTTAATATTGGTTTCGTTCTTATTAATTATTTAATTATAGTAATTTGGAGTTCAGGGAATTGATTAAACTGGAATTATTGTCATTCATAAACTAAAATGATGATTCCGATTACCGCGTTTTGATTATGCACCTTTAATTTAATTTAATGAAGATTATGATGATTGAACGAATAAAAATTTGCATTATAATTTCCTTTAATGCGAATTCATAATAAAGTTCATAGTTATTGTGATAGATAAACAAAGAGACAATAGTACAAAATGGTAATTCTGGCTGAAATTATTTACTAATTAAATCATTAAGATTTTTTTACATATCAGGAAAAACATCTATTATATAAATCATTTTTAGTTAATTTGAAATTAAGATTTTATCTCTTTTTTAGGTGGTTATTATAATAATCTCTTTTAGGTGGTTATTGAAAAAAAAAAAGATTCTCGGATTGAGAAAAAGAATTTTATACTGTATGTATTCTTAATATTTACTAGGTAAATCTCTCGTGGAACAATCGTGGAATATATATTTAATATATATTTAATATATATTTAATATATTTTAATATATTTTAATATATTTATTATACTTTATTGATAAATCTTATTGACTTATTGACAATTTCCTTAATATCATTTCAGATCCATATTTGACTGTTATAATGAAAAAACGGTTTTTAGAATGTAAATAATTCATATTGTTTACCTTATTAAAAAGAGAATTTCTGTATTAAGAAAAGTCTTGTCATAATTATCATAAGTAATCATGATACAATCACTTTTAACAATGTGTCAGCGTGATTCTTGTTAATTATTATTATTTAATAATATTATTATTCATTATTATTGATTATTATTTATTATTATTATTGATTATTATTATTTATTATTTATTATCTTGTTTTTTTTTTCCATCGGTCATTCGGTCATCTGATTATTCCGTAACACAAAACATGAAACATGAAACATTCAATTATTTTAAAAAAGGGTTTTACTAATAAATGTAACGCAAGTAAATCCTAATTTAATTTTATTTTAATTTTTACCTGGTAAAAAAAATTTTACAAAAGATAAAATTGTGATTATCATCATATTTGAACATGTGATCGTGTTTCAATATAATTAATTTACATATGGAAATATTGTCATTATAATGATGTTCTTTACCAAAGTTAATCCAAATTAATCAAATTTTCTATCAAGAAAAATCTTATCATTTTATATCCGTATAACATTGTTTATCTCAAGGTAAATGAATACTGATATATTATTATAGTTTACCCCAACAAAATAGGTTTTTTTTTCCTTGATCTTCCCATCGGATTTATTTTATACCGAATTTTCTTTTTAAAGTTAACGATACAAATGAAATAAGGAAAATTGACTAATCCTTATGGTTAATTTACGGGTATCATTTTATTATAAGTACATATAGTACATATATTACATATAGTACTTATAGTACAACGCGTTTAAAAGTTCCTTTTTTTTCTAATTGTTTAAAGTTATGTAATGATACATATCATATTTAAAACAATGAAATAAATTCCTAAATGGTATAAGGAATTATTTTACTTGATTTAGAAAAATAATTAACTAAATTAAAAAATTTTTTTTTTTTTTTTTTTTT